CATATCATTTCACTGATGCATCCACTCATCCAAATCTTTAATTATCCATCCAGCCATTCATCCGTCCATTTATTCATCCATCCATCCAACAACCCAACCAACCACCAAAAATCCAACCAGCAACAATGCAATATTTATTCATTCATTGTTCGTTCGTTCGTTCGTTCGTTCGTTCGTTCGTTCGTTCATTCATTCATTCATTCATTCATTCATTCATTCATTCATTCATTCATTCATTCATTCATTCATTCATTCATTCATTCATTCATTCATTCATTCATTCATTCATTTATTCATTTATTCATTCATTCATTCATTCATTCATTCATTCATTCATTCATTCATTCATTCATTCAATCGTTCGTTTGTTCGTTCATTCATTCACTGTCGGCGAGTTAGTTCAGTGGGTAGAAGTGCCATGTCTCGAGCAGTTACACGATGGCCTGGTTCGAATACTGTCGGTCCGCCACTCAAAGACTATCATATGCCATGCTCGTATAATGCGGTACTTCGCGTACATGCTTAATGTGCATGTACGTCTTTTGGTGTGGATAGTACAGTCTTTGTGACACGAAGGTTTAAATACAGGGATGATATGTAAGAGGCTCTGGGTATGTCAGAGCTACACAATAAAAAACAAAACAAATCAAACATTTACTTATCCATTCACCTGTCCGTCCATCTGTCAATGTTTTGCATCATCTTCCGTCAACAACAGCCCAATAGAACAAATTAAATAGAGATTTTATACGTTTGCATGTGACGTGACGTCACCAATTCAATTTTTAATAACTATCCATCTTTAACCATTCATTCATCAATTTAGCTATCCAACTAACCAAGCCATCCATTCATTTATTCAATCTTCCATCCTTGATCCAATCAAACATGCATTCACATTTTTATCAATCAATCCATCCATTCATTCAGCCAGCCACGCCTCCATCCATCTATCCATCCATCAAACAATCCATCCATTTCTATATCAGTTCATCTATCCATTCTGTCATTCATTCATCCATCCATCCATCCATCCTTCCATCCATCCATCCATCCATCCATCATAGTGTGCTTGCCCATGAAAAGACAATAACATAAACAACAATGTCTGACATTTTTATTTTTAACTCATCATCATTTTATTTTTAGAAATAAAATTTTTACGTTTTCTCCTAACGTTTGTGTTTGTTTCAATGGCATGAGCTTATAGCTATGAACGAATGAACAAACAAATGGATAAGCAAATAATAATAATAAATAATATACAAATCATTATTATAATTTTGTAGCTGTCACCATTCAGTGCATACGTTGGATATTATAATTCATGGCTTCTTGACTTTTTTTTGAAACGTTAATTAGCCTCCTTATTTATTTATCTTTTATTTTTTTAGTTTAAAAAATCAAAAATTATAAGATTTATATAAATGATACGATGATCGTATATCACTACTATGATGTCATATATCATTCCGATGATGTCATATATCATTCCGATGATGTCATATATCATTCCGATGATGTCATATATCATTCCGATGATGTCATATATCACTACGATGATGTCATTTATCATTCCGATGATCGTATATCATTACGATGATGTCATATATCAATCCGATGATGTCATATATCATTATGATGATGTCATATATCATTCCAATTATCATATATCATTACGATGATCATATATCATCATTACGATGATCATATATCATTTGGATGATCATATATTACTACGATGATGTCATATATCAATCCGATGATGTCATATATCAATCCGATGATGTCATATATCATTATGATGATGTCATATATCATTCCGATTATCATATATCATTACGATGATCATATATCATCATTACGATGATCATATATCATTACGATGATCATATATCACTAAGTGTTCATATACCTTTACGATGATGTCATATCACTACGATAATCATATATCACTACCATGGTCATATATCATTACAATGATCATATATCATTCCGATGATCATATATCATTACGATGATGTCATTGAGGTGTCATTATTTTTCATTATCATCGAAGTCTTATTAGTTACATGATGTTCTATGTAGGTTCTATTATTATTATTATTATCATTATATTATATTATTATTATTATATTATTATTATTAACTATTATTATTATTATTAATTATTATTATATTATTATTATTATATTATTATTATATTATTATTATTATCATTCAAATGTATAACTATATTAAGACTGATTACATTTCTCGTTGTGCGCATTTTATATCTATAATGGCGAGCATCGTAGACTACTTTCTCATTTTAATTCATTTTATTTTATTTTATTTCATTGAATATTTATTTCGCCCCTTCTTTGGAAAAAAAATAAAAGAGTTCCCATTTACAGATTGTGATTTTTTAAATAATAATAATAATAATAATTATAACACCTTTAAAGATGTTATAATTATTATTATTATTATTTAAAAAATCACAATCTGACAGACGCTGAAACTGTTACAGCATACAATGCAATAGTATTAAATGATAACGAAAAAAAATTTAAAAAAATGATAAAGCATGAAAAATAAAGAAAATAAAATAAAGTAATGGTTTAAAAAGGCAAATAAATAGAGTAATTTATTACGTATTTTATTAGGTATTTCGTAATGGATTTGTTGTTTATGCTTCCTTTTAGAGATGTAATGGTGACTTAAAATTGTCTTGATGGAGCTGAAGAAACTATGAATTTTCCTATGCTCAAATGGGAATTAGATTGTTATTGTTGTTGTTATTATAATTGTTATTATTGTTATTATTAATATTCAGTTACAGTATTTTTGAGAATTTATTAATACAAAATAGAAAAAACATGAAACAAAATACGATTTAGGAAATATGTTTTCGTTAATATTGCCTAAATTTTTTGTCGTATATTAACAAAAAAGAATAGAAATTATGTTTTGATGTTGATTGAAATGTTGAAGCCTCAAAAATTACAAACTGCATTGAAACTAAATTCAAAAGTTTTCCACGTTGTTAGTAATTTTAGTTAGTAAAATTAAAGGACCTCAGCAACTTAAAAAGCAGCAACATCCACATGACGACATTTAAACCAATGCCTCCACATTGAGGAAAATATCCACATTTTCATGCCAACTCATCTCGACAACATTTGAAACTTTTTCTGAATATCAATTAAGTGGAAAAACTTGGAACATTCACTTGGAAACCTACGTGATAAACAATGACGTCACGTTTCTTTTTTAAATTGAGAAATCATTAAGCATTAGCAAAAGCCATACGCTGATCCTTACTAAAGGTATTTTCAAATGGCAAAAACATTAGGAATGCCAAACAATATGGTAAATGAATTTTAATGACGCCTCTTCATCTCATTATTTCTAAAATGAGAAACGATTGCCTCCTCTAGTTTCCCCATCATAAAGCATAGTGGCTGTCATTTGAAAATTCGATAATGAATGCTTATGAAGGTGGGCCACCAGTTTATTTTTGCTTTTAAATATTATACCACCCATATAGCAAACCTATCAGCTATCATCACCTAATTCCTTCACGTATTTTTCAACAACGTGTAATTGTAACAACTTATTTCTGATCATATAAACTGAGTGCTGGAGTTACTTTATTTTGAAATTGTCATCAGATTCAAATCCAACAAAATCCTTAAATGACCTTCTTTTATTATCTCGCAAAAATTTGACGCAATATAGTTTTTTATCTATTTTTGTTGAATTTTTTAAAGTTATATGTTTGACAGAGTTGAACGCAGTTTTCTTCAACTAATCTTTTCGTGGTTAGTTCATTAGATTCAGTTTAGTTCGTTTGATTCAGTTTGAGGGACAAGTTTTTCCGGTAGCTCACAAAACGTGAAACGATGTGGTAATATATTTCCTTGAAGAATTGTTGATTTCATTTATTTTTTACACCTTTTTATCAAGTAAAACATCAAAATTTTTGCGGGCTTTTGAATGGTATCTTGTTTTTGCCTCACCAAATAACTTGATCATGCAAAAGTTGTTGGTCGCGTTGAATTGAAGTTAAACGTTCGTTTACGGTATTGTACCGTTTTGTCGTATCTTGTATGTATGTATATATCAAGTCAATGTTGCATCGCATATTTTTTTGCCATACAAATTATAATTTATAAAACCTAGCAGAAATTAAGTTTTTATTTATTCCTCCTTGTTACATTTTCAAAAAATTTATGGTACTAATATACAATATCAATAACATTCTCATTATTATTTTTCTTATTTTTAGTATTATTGCCATCCAGTTTTTTGTTGCACTTATAGGCACCACATTTGAAATGAAATTCTGAACGGTACTATAGTTGCCATAGCAACGAATCCTCGCATGCAACTCCACTCCACTCTACACGACAGCAATCGTCCAACGAATAAAAACATTAAATTTGAATAACGATTTCTTAGCAGCAGCTCAAAAATTTTTAATTAACATTTTTCTTTTATAAACATTTTTTTCACACTATCATCCCATCATGATCATCATCAACATTTACATTATTTTTATTTTCTGTTGAATGATTGATAGCGTTGTAAATTTACTTTCTGTTGTCTTTTGTTTATAATGATGACAAATTTGTTTGTACAATGACGATGAGGTAAATGTTGAAACGTTTTTGGTTGATACCCTCAAATCTATAATAAATGTTAAACCGTTTTTCATTGGTTTTTTCACATCTATCACAAGCATGACGTCATTCTAGTAAGCCAATCAAATCAATTGTGGCATTTTAATCCTACCAATCATCACGTTATCCATTACACATCTAAGCCTGTCTTATGACGGCCCGCCTCGTAGTGACATACGAATATGCAAAAAATTGAATTTTTGTTCTGGTTTCGTCATCGTTATTAAATAAATGTTCATTAAATATAATTTTTATTTTCATATTCAATGCAGCTCAGCTTCGAGATATATTGATTAATTGATCAATCAATTGGTTGGTTGACAAGTCCTAATCATGAACATGCTTGGAGCATTCCTTCTAACTGTTGTTCTGCTCTGTTTGTGTGAGACTGCACTATCAAGGTGGCTTCATTTTATGAAAATGATCTTTATTATGGATTTATTTTTAATCCATAGTTTATTATTAATATTTCAAAGTTCATTTGAAGACATGGAGCAAACCCCGCAGAACGCAAACATGGAATACAGCAACGATGTGAATGAACAATACACAAATAGACTCAGGAGAGACCTTCACAGACTTCACAAATACTTCAACCACAACTCAATGCCCAGATTTATAAATAAGCTCCCCAGAAGACGCTGGACCCCGACCAACGATGAGAACCTCGATAGAGATTACGAACCCATTCACAAACGTTACCTCGACAGTTTGGGTGACTCCATCATCAAGAAAAAGTAACGCACACCGAGCGGTCGTGGTCATCGATTTATTAGTTTCATGCGTCGTTGTGATTTTGTTTTTTCAGTTTTAAATATGAACAAAATAAATTATTGAATGGTATAACGGAGTTTTACCGAAAATAAATTAACATAAATTTAACAAATAACCAAAGGAACAAAATAACCAAAGGACAACGAACACAGGACAACAGCATTATTCAAGCAAAATACAACGTTTAAGTTCATTTCAGTTGTTAGTCAGTGGTACAATTCCCTGGCATGATAAATAAGATTGTTCGATTGATTGATTGGTCGGCTTCACATCAGTCACGTTCATCAGACTTTCATCCGCTTTGAGTTCTCGAAAAATAATTTTCAGTTAACAAAAAGTATTGTGCAACCGGTGGGACAAAAACAAAGTTTCAATGCATTCGTGCGTTATATTAATAAAATTGTTCATCCAACAATCAATACTTGCTTTAAAATTGTTTATTGATTCTACAAGTTCATTTGGTAATGAGTTCCAAGTATTTGCCACTGTATTGAATAAGTAATTCTCTCTGCCTCTATGTCTTGTTCATTCCTTAAAAAGTGGCAAAATATAAATACGTTTCCCGATCCCGTTGTAAAAATCAAATCCAAAATGTTTTGTTACACCATTGGACTTTTGAAATGTTGGTACGTTAACATGTTGATAGAGGAACGCGTCTTTAATTATTTCGCTAAATTTATTTCAATGCCACTGACGTTTTTAATGGTTTTGATTGACCCATTTAATCATTCCATTGATGTGAAATTAAAATCTCTCATTGTCAGAACATCTTTAAAACTTCTATAGTGAATGTAATACCTGGCTTGTTTGAAGACAAGTTCAAGATAAATCACATCCACAAAATAATCCGGTCTATAGATACACTCCACCAAATATTCATCACGATCAAGACAAATAACTGCCTATACTTGTACAATTTTGCTCCAATTGAAAACAACTTCCACGACATCATAAGAATTGAGATGAATTGATAAACAGACACACTCCGCCATCACTTCTATATACATTAAAGTTGTTTAAATTACCAATTAAGCTATCTTTAAACTATATTTCATTTACACCAATAACCGATGGATTATACGTCTCAACAACCTCTAAATTCATTCAGTTTACCTAAAAAATAGCATTCAAATACATACAGTGTAGGGTGTTGTGTCTGTTTAGAAAACCTGCTCAATCATGAGTTGAATATAAATTAACGAAGTTTCCTGAATCTATGCACCTGATTTTCACGGATGCTATACCGAAAGGGCAAGTCTACACCAAGTTCTGCATTCAATCCGTTTCATTCCTAACTAAATTTATAATCCAGTTGTCTTTCAGCTTCTGTCAAATCTGGACTAATGTAAACAGATTTGAATTTGTCAAATTCTCTCAATTTTTTGGCTGCCAAGAGGACGGCATTCCTGATAGCAGCATCAGACAAATCAACCAATAATGGACCAGGTTTTATTGGGTTTTTTGATTTCAATCTTTTTGAGTATGCAACTGAAATATTAGATATATCAATAACTTGTGAAATTTGAAAAAATGTATGCATAACTCATGTTGAGCAAAAACAGTCTTTAAAGCTCAATCACAATCTAGTCGCAGAAATATGTAAAATCGAAAGATGTAACTCATCTTTTAACGTTCATTTTGAAAATGACGAAAATAAATGGAAATATCAAATATGCATAATTATGTAAAAAAATTATTATATAGTAACAAAGGCAAATCTAGTTGTGAGCAGTATTTGTATCAAGCCAGAAAAACTGTTGTTACACATTAAAAAACAGCGTTTTAGGTAAAATATGGACCACAACATTCTCTTTTCCATGCCATTGCTAAGTCCTCTCACCTTGGAACTTCTTGTGTAGCTTACTTGATAAAGGCTTCTTCCAAACATCTTGGTTGTCTTCTAAATAGTCCAGAAATCATTCATTGTTCTGTAATTACAATAAGTTAGAGTGCAAACAAATTCGTAAGCGGAGTTTAGATCCAATCAAACTAGTATATATGATTTTAAATGATAATTATGAAAGAATAAAAATAATCATTGTGATTCAGAAAATTAATCTTTGAGTCATTAATTTATAATTTTTCTGTTAATTTTATCGAATAATTAATCAGTGTATAAATTAAAGTGCAAAAAATTTAATTTTTAATGCTCGCTTGGATGATTTCTTGATGGCTCTTTTAGAGTTTACATACATTATAACTTTATAACGGAGGATTTAATTTTCTTTTTTAAGATGCGTAGTTTTCAATGTTAACAATAAAAATATCAGGTCAAGCATCATATATTAAATAGTATTTTGATTAAATACAAAATTTTAATTGTTGTTATAAATCTATAATTATGAATAGTAGTGTTAATGAATGTCTTATACCTACTTAAAAAATTTTCCGACTCATTGAAACCAATTCAAATACATACAAAATTTTTAAACGCTAATAAGCTCCCGAAATTTAATTGACTGATTGACTGACGACAACAAATGGATTCCAAATCTTGCTTATACGTCCTTTAACGGTTTCCGCCATCATACATTTCTACTTCTTGAAACTAATTTAACTTTTTGATGTAGCCGTTTTTTTGTAAAATTTTTTCAAACGAAGTATAAACCTGGAAAAATGCATCAATAAAGCTAATTTCCAACTAAACATTTTTTTAAAAAACATGATTTACCTTTTTGGACTATGGAATCAACTTGAACAGATGGCATAGGGGGCTCGCACATGTCGCTTTATTAGCAGTATCGGCCAACATCTGATATTCTTTTCCAACCACTGAATTTGAAATCGCACCTACCTAATATGATTTATGTTATTATTATTAATTTTAAACTGGTTTAATAAGTTTGGCACAAGCAAGAATTATGCTAAGAAAAGGCCTTTCAAGTTTAAATTTACATTTACAACTGGAATACTCTCTAAACAATTAAATTAAATATTCATTTGTAATGTTTTAGTAGAAAAAAATTAAACAAAAAAAACTATTACAAATTACTATCTTTTTTTAAATATTTTGTATTATTTGCTGTTAAAATTGAATGATACATGAAAAATTTATTGTTTTTGCAGATTTTCCTGTTTTGCAAGCCTATCTCATTCTCATTCTATATAAAAATGCAAGCTCAAACCCTGAAAGTTTTTGTTGAAAAAAATTATTAAAGGTTTTCAGTGCCTCTACTGAATGGTTTTGTTCATTTCCTAATATGGAAACAAAAGAAAAGTTCTTTTTTCCAAAAAGAACCAGTGTGTTTGATGTACAAGTACACAACTGGAATTTAGTTAGAAGAATAAAATTAACTCGTAAAACTTCAACCACTTTTAAACATAATCTAAATTAATATGGGACCGAGTTGTTGAATACCTTTGGAAACCGTTTTTCTATCAGACCCCAGATAAGTCAGAAAAACAGTCATTATCCAGTGAATCACATCACGATTAGCCGGCCAGTCTGAATCAAGAAGCCCCACATACAGTTTAAAACCAGCCCAACACTGCAAAATCTATCCAACAGTTAGTGCCCAACCACCAAAAAAGAAAGTTCTTTCTACCAATCAAACATATTTGTTAAAAGTGTATTACCAAAAATTTAAGAATTGAAAATTATAAACAAACAATTTTTACATTGAAACAAAAAATAAGTAAGTTTTCTAGTTTGTGAGAAACAAACCGGAGATTGAGTCACTTGGCCAAAATAAAACTGGATTCTGCAGATCATTGGAAATCCAAGTACCAAGCAGAAAAAGACACGAAATTACAAGCCATTTTATCCGATTCAAAAACAAAATTCTGTAAAATAAGCAGATCACAAATTAGAAAATGTCAAAGATCCAAGATGGACAGGTTTCCACTTTATACTTTCTTGAAATATTTTCAAAAGATATTTTATTTTAAACTTGATGTTAATAAAAAAATCAACACATTTTCATTTGGACCAGTGAAAAAAGTTAGACGATCATTTTTCTACGTGAGGAGAAAATTACTTACTTAGCTGAAGTTGGTAATGATGTGCCAGTTTATTCCATTTTAGGAGGATCTGCAAAAAGAACTGCAAGAAAAGACAGGAGTTTTAAAATGCTCGAGACACTATTAATAAACAGATGAGATATATTATTTGATCAGTTTGCTGTTGGAAAAAGACGAAGAGGAAAGTGTCAAAGTAGTAAGTACAAAGTTTGGAAATACTCTTCTTGTTACAAGAAGTTTACCTACAGGGCCCGCTTGGGAAATGCTTTCACAACAGGAATAGGAGCCACGCTACAGTACTTCAATGAAACAGTTCACTCTTCCACATTGAGATATGTTGCACACCCATCCAACATTGCTAGAATGGCATACAAATTAAGTATTCTTGCTTATCTACAAGTTGGTGAAATGTTGTACCAGTGTGATTCGGTAACTCTTGCTCATGATGCCACAGCAGTTGTTGATAAGCATGTTGTAAAATTCCAACTATGTCTCTCACCATCACAAGCATGCAACACAATCTTTACAGCCAGATTTCCAGATTTCAGTCAGACTTCCAGATGGCACAGCTGTAGATTACACCGTCACATTGTTTCATCTCTACAGTTAGTCACAGAGACATACGCACAGTTCAGCAGGTTAGAAGTTACCCAAGTTCACTGTCGGTTCATGTCCAAAATGAAATCATGTCTTGCAGATACAGCTTCAGTCAACAATTGTGTCCATCAAATGCTAAAGAAGGAACTTCAGACCCACTTAATCAATTCAAGTTGCAATTTCATCCATTAAAAAAAATGCATCTAATGCTATGAAATGTTTGGCAGATTTTGGGCAGATTTTGACAGCATCCATAAGTTGACAAGAAGGAGGAATTGGCTAAGGAGGAACCGCAGTTTCTTTAAACAGTATTTATTCTAATTTTTTTAGTTGACTCAACAAACTATTTTAAAATCTTAAAAACCTTTTCATAGCATAGCAAAAATAGAAACGAAGTCACAAAGTCATTATAGATTGGTATCAACCAAGTGGGAGTCATGGTACAACTTCAAGCTCTAAACTAAGCATAATTGTAAAGATCATCACCAGCCTGTAGATGAAGTTGGTATATTGTAACACAGCGGTTCTCAACTTGTGGTCCACGGACATTTGCCTGGTGGTCCACAAGCAAAGTGTGAATTGCAATTGAGTCTTACGAGCTTTACGCCTCATTTAGATAAGCTATGCTCAACTGTGCATGCTCAAGGCTCACACTAAAATTAAATGTAGCATTATTTCTAATGTACTTGGCACATTAAAAACCACCTGTTTATTATTATCCATTATTGTTAGCAAGTGACATTTGTTTATTATAAAAGATGCAATTACAATTTGTTTCATATTTGACATAAAAATTGATGATATGCCAGATACGCCGTGATATACATACGGTGTATGCAATGCAAACATCAATGTAAAACGAACATTATATTTTTTAATTTGAAGTTAAAACATTTATTAAAATTTTTTAAATTGACTAGTAAAAAACTAGTAAAAACTTTACATAACCGTACATTACAATGCCATTGTCTGCGATTTGAAGAAAGTTCTTTATTATATGGAATAATAATAAATAATTTTAAATAACAATTTTAATACACCTATAGGTAAGTATGGTAACTGTAGTTCTCTAAGTCTAATAGTTATACTATGAACTACATATGTTATACTAACTATGTGTAGCTGTTACGTGATTATATGAAAAAATAAATTATATATATATATATAAATTTCAAGTGTGCTAGTAACAAATTTTCAGTAGTGGTCCGCGGCTGAGACACACATGGCTTGGAAATGTTTAACTAGATTTTTGGTGCAATTTTTGCCCTTATTTTGTTTAATACAGCATAGACATTGTTTTTTTAATAAAATATTGACACAGTTTGATGATAATAAATTTGATCCTAAGGACCTGCTTTTTAATTTGGGCAAGTCAGTGATTGAGAAAATGCTACACCACCCAGCAAAAGTTGTGCTGATAAAAACTGATGTGTATGATCAACCCCCTTAAAGAAGATAATATGCTCCTGTCTTTGATGAACGAAGTTTATAACAATGATATGTTATATAAACTGTTAATTTCTTTTATGCAGAGTGTCATAGAAGTATTGGAAAGACCGATGGGAAACTACCTCACTAGAGAGTTGTCTAACTCTGCCCATCAGATGATTGCAGACACCAGCTCAGCACTCTTCCACAACATCCATGCAAAAAAAATCCGTGGTTTGTCTGATTGTTTTATAAGAAAATCACATTATACTAACATTGGATTTGTAGATGCAAAAGTGAAAGCAAAGATGAACCCACCAGGGATTGGTTGAATGCCAAATCAGAACAAGAACAAAACAAAATCAAGTTTGCCATCACATGGGGTGCAAAGGTTCGGCACATCTTTAATGACACTGAGAGGCAGACTGAGCATGCCATCCTGGAAAGACGAAAACAACCAAAAAACCGAGGACAAAAATTACAAGACTGAACATGCAGTCCTTAAGTTATTGACTAATAATGGGTATTCTAAGAACCCATTATTTTCCAGCCTTGATAAACTGCAAAAAGTCTTTCTTGACGACATCTTTGCTGGAAGACCATTGACAGACAAACTTCTATACCACAAGTGGTCAATGAGTGACGAGAAAGAGGAGCTAACATTCATTGGCAGGATACAAAGAACGAAGAGAAAAAAAACAAATTCATCATCAGCTACTGGGAGGTAGATGAAGAACCTGTCAGTAGAAAGTTTCATTACAGACTTGATCAATGGAGAACTGGAATTCTTCACTCAATGAGTGCATGATAAATTTTGTTAATTATGTATATAATAATTGTGTGTTTGTTAATCATATAAAAATTGTTTGTTTGTTTGTGTGTGTTTATGTGTGTGTATGTACCAAGTAGAAGAAGACATGAAATAACAACTGTTTCATCCAATTCAAAAACAAAAGTCAAAAATCACAAGATAGACAGGTCTCTACTTTATACTTAGCTGAAATATTTTCAAAACTATTTTTTTTTATTTTAAACTTGATGTTAAAAAAAAAGATCAATACAATTTCAATTTGAGAAATTTTTAGATTCAAATTAAAAATATAAAATTAACATTTTAATTTTGCTGAAATAATAATTGATTGGAATTTTTTGGTAAAATTTAATTAAATTCAAACCACTTGAGGATTTAAACTAGCCGGTAAAATTACGAATATGTATATCAAATATCACATGAAAATGAAAGTACTGGAAATTAATAATTTCAAAAATTAATGTATCTATCACTATAGACAAAAAAAGTTGTTGGAAATTGCTAATTATTTCAACAAGTGTTTGCCATATGCCACTCTAGGATTTTTGGGTGCTAGAGATAGAACTAAAAATACTCTAGAATAGTTAGGTAAGAAATGTGGAGATATGCGAAAATTGCTAGTTGAATATGCAACAACGAAAAGTGGCCTTTTAAGAGTAATAAAAATTTAAAAAAATCATTTGGGCAGAAATGAAATCTCGTTGGCCAAATGAAACAGCATCAACTGTTAGCAAATGGTGGATTGGTTAATGATGCACTGTTTGCTAACTTGGACATATCAACCATGGTTTTAGTGGCTTATTAACAGCAGATAGTTAAAAAATAGCAACAAATAATACATTAATAATGATATTATTTGTGTTTGGGTCAAATTGAAGGATGGAAGGTATATAAATTATAAGTTATTGGGCACAAGAAAAAAATGATAGTAACAATTACTACCTACCAGTTATCTGCTTTCTGGTGGATGTAATCTTCTCAAGTAGAAAAATAGCAAACACCGGAAATGGAACATCATGACACAATTAGCATGTAAGAGTTGTTCCAGTGTTTGAGGCAAAGTATTTTTTGATTTGCCTTTGTGTCCCACTTGCTTTTTTCATACAACAACAATTTGCAAGAGATGTTTTAACAACTCAGCCAAGCTTCGTGCAATTTATGTTTTTAATTAGATTTCAGAATTTTTTCTGTATTGTTTCTTTTGTTTTACAAATGAGTTTTCTAATACAACAAAATTATTTGATGCATGTGAATTCATTTTTTTGTAAAAAATGAAAGACCGAAAAAAAATATTTACAGAATCTTACGAAAATTTTTTATTTGAAATTTTTAATTGCGACATTCTTTGATGTCATTGTAAAAGATTATGTTTGTTGAAGAGTTCTTGCAATAACAAATTTTGTTTATGCAAATGTTTACTTAATTGATTGTTCACTATGAAAATTAAATATATTTTTTCTTGAAATCAAGATTTTTTAAAATTTTATGTCATAATAGGCAGAAAAAGCATTTAATGCTGTGGTTTGACTTCAAATAATGAGATCTTTATGATCACTATGAAAATTAAAAATATTTTTCTTGAAATCAAGATTGTTTAAATTTTATGTCATAACAGGCAGAGAAAGCATTTAATGCTGCGGCTTGACTTCAAATAATGAGATCATTCGATATCCAAAAATTTTAACTAAACGTTATTTAATAAAATCATTATTTATTCCAATAATATTAATAATTTTAACTGAAACCCATAAATTTATTTTTAAATTCACCATCTTTTAAGGCATTTTAAATATATTTTTAAAAATTTTTGACATTATTTGTTAAATAGACATAAAATTGCAAAAAATCCCTAATTCTAAAATACATTTTAGGAAGTATAGAAAATCAGAAGGAATTACCATTTCGGACAATGAAGGTGTTGTTTATAATAGGCAAAATTGTGAGCGAAAGCCCATGAAAAGCTATGTGCTCATAAGAAAATGTTTGAGGCCCAAGGTAGCACATTTATTTTCAGGCTCAAGCAGCATAACCCCAGTTATAATTAACCTGTTTTTATTAATAATTGATAACTGTACGAAAATGGTATATTTCAGTCTAAATCAAAATCATATAAAATAAAGGTTGTTTCATTATATTTGAATTTGATGGTGGAATAAATAAACATTGTTTTAAAATGCAAAGCTTATAATTTTTCCTAAACAACTGAAAACACATCCTCTTATTTAAGGCTTCTTAAGCTTTATTTCATGACCATTTTATTTAATTTTTTACTGGTGTTGCCCCTATACTAATGTACTATACTTATTAATTTTTCCATTTCAATTTTTTGTTTTTTATTTAATATTTTTCAGAGATGTCATTAAAAAACAAATGCGCAAATACACATGAAACAACGCACACCACACATTGCATGAGAGGCCGGATATTTTTCCAATCAACCTGGCACTTTAGTTTAGTTAGGTTTAGTTTAGCGTTTATTTACTTTACAATTACATTATTACACTATGACTATCACACCGCCGGCTGGAAGCTGGGGCAGCTAACCTTTAAATTAAAGATAATAGGTACTGGTTTAGCGTTTAGCTTTATTTACTTACTTTATATTACATTATTACATCCGCTACGTTACGGTTACACTACAATTACACTATCGCCATGACGGTCAGAAGCTGGGGCAGCAAACCTCCGAGGTATCTGGATCCAAATCCGGATCCAATTTGCATGCGATCATAAAACCAAAATTGCTGTTTCAAAACGAAATACTTGTAAAAACTTTCTTCTGACAAACCAAACTAATAGTTACAAAACGTAGATGTATCAACTTGTTAGTTGTAATGTTAGTCATATAAAGCACAGTTAGAAACAGGATCATTCATTAAAATTTATTAAAATCAAAATTTTCTTAACCAAGTCAATATCAAAACAGTCAAATTTAAATTATTTATTATGAATCCGATAGTTTTATTCTAGGTGAATTAACTTTCAGAAATGTTAACACTTTCACAGCCAATCAAAGAAAAATTTCCGTTTTAAAGGCTGACTTTGGACACGTAAAATTGTGGATCCTCAACTTTAGATCTAAGGATTCAATCAATCAATCAATCCTTCAATTAGTCAGTCAGTCAGTCAATCAATCAACCAATTAGCTTATAAAGCGCTATTTCCGCGATGTTCAACAGCGCTCCTCAATGAATTTTGCAAACAGATGGGTCTTGAGATCCGCTCTGAACTTCGTAAGTGAAGAGAAATAGCCAGAGAAGTAGATAGAGATTTCCAGAGAAAAGAGCCAGAAAAAGCAAAAGCAGATTTAGCAAAAGAGTGTTTAACACGTGTTAAGAAGAAGTGAGAACAAGATGATCGTAAACCGGGGCGGTTAGGTTCAATTAATATATCTAAAAAAAAAAGATAAAAAAATAATTTAGATTGAGACTTATACATAAATGACAAATTTTAAAAATTATTCTAAATTTTATAGGTAGCCAGTGCAAAAGAACAAGATATGGAGATATATGAATTTTAAAAATTTAAAAAGGCAAATTTTAAAAATTATTCCATATTTTATAGGTAGCCGGTGCAAAAGAACAAGATATGGAGACATGGAGATATATGAGAAAAGAAATGTGCACGAGCAACTAGACGAGCAGCAGAGTTAAAAGCTTTACTTAAAGGATAGAGTGTAGAATAAGGAAGACCATAGTAGAGCGAGTTAGAATAAACAATCCTAGATAAGACTAATGAAGTAACAAGAAGGAGAAGAGTAGGATCATCAAGAAAAGGCAAAATCCGTATACGGTACCGTCGCATTCCCATTACTTACTTAGGGATATATATATATATATATATATATATATATATATATATTTATATATATATATATTTACAATATTCTATAAATTCTACCGAATAAACTTATTTTCCGCGTAATAAGGTCATATTTCGATTCCGAATGAATCATCATCAGTACTTTTTGTTGTTTATATATGATGATATATTTATATGTACACTGATGATGATTCATTCGGAATCGAAATATGTGCAGCATGAATTCGGAAAATAAGTTTATTTTGAATTTTAATAAACTAAACGTTCACCAAAAAACTTTAGTGAGAAAAATCGAAAAAACGAACTACAAACATATTAACGCCAAACGTTCGGTAGAATTTATAGAATATTGTAAAAATTATGGTCTATTACCAACATATATTGATATATATATTTATTTATTGACAAAACTGCTCAGAGGGCCATAAAGAAGCACTTAACTAGACAGAAAAAATAAAAATAAACGAATTTCATTAAAATGTACGTCGACACGGAGAAATAAGTTTGAAAAATCATAGTTAACATTTATATTGACCATCATCCTCGCGAAATAATACCATAAGAAAAACCAATTTAATAAAGTTTGATAAATTGATAGTTATGATAGTATTGATAGTTATGATAGTATTGATAGTTATTTAATAGTTAAAACTTTGTTAAAGTCAACAGAGAGCAGTTGATTATTGAAGACAGCATATGAGGTTGAAGAGATGACATCTTCTGGCAAGACATTCCATATTTGAATGATTCGGTTGCAGAAGAAATATTTAGTTGAGTTGTCACTAAGATTGAAATCATGCAATTTACTTTGATGTCCCCGAGTTGTTAAGTACAGAAATAGAATGAAATTACTATTTAGGTCTATTTGAACGAGGTTATGAAGTATTTGTAAAGAAGGCATAGATCAGAAATTAACCTCCGACGTTCCAAAGTATGCATTCCAACTGCATGCAGTCGAGACAGGTATAAGAGATGATGTAGAGACGGGATAAACTTTGTAAATCTTCTCTGTACACTTTCAATTTTGTTTATTTGGTATTTGTAATGTGTATCCCACACAGATAAAGCATAAAAATAATTCTCTCTAGTGACATTAGTAATCTTACTCTTCTTCTTGCTCTTGACTTTTTTTCGGCTTTTGATACTGTTGATCATACTATTCTCTTAAGGCTGCTACATCTTTCTTTTAATATTATTGATTCTTGTCTATCTTGGTTTTCTTCTTATCTCTGTAATCGTTTTTCTTCTGTTGTTCTCAATAATTCTACTTCTAACTCCTCTACTCTTACTTTCGGGGTACCTCAGGGTTCTATCCTTGACCCTCTTCTATTTATACTTTATACTTCTGAACTACCTCGTATTATTAATAACTTTTCTTTTTCTAGTCAACTATATGCTGATGATTCTTACATCTATACTTCTTTTCCTCCATCTAATCTCAATAGTGTTCTTCATAATCTATCTCTATGTCTTTCTTCAATTATCGCTTGGTCTGACTCTATGTGTCTTAAACTTGATCCTTCTAAGTTTGAACTAATTTGTTTTAATAAATCTAAACACTCTATTACTATTCCTCCTATTATCTTACCTGATTCTAAAACTCTTGATGTCTCTCATAAGTTTCGTAGTCTAGATTTTATCTTTGATTCTACTATGTCTCTTTCTTCTCAGATTAATAGTGTTGCTAGAAGCTCTTACTTTCATCTACGTAGAATAAAAAAACTTTTGCCTTTTCTTGATGATCCTACTCTTCTCCTTCTTGTTACTTCGTTAGTCTTATCTAGGATTGATTATTGTAATTCACTCTACTATGGTCTTCTTGACTCTATACTCTATCCTTTAAGTAAAGCTTTTAACTCTGCTGCTCGTCTAGTTGCTCGTGCCCCTTTCTTTTTTCATATATCTTCTTATCTTGTTCTCTTGCACTGGCTACCTTTAAAATATAGAATAATTTTTAAAATTTGCACGTTTATGTATAAGTCTCAATTTAAATTATTTCCTAAGTATTTATCAAATATATTAATTGAACCTAAACGCCCCGGTTAACGATCGTCTTTTTGTTCTCGCTTTTTCTTAACTCGTGTTAAACACTCTTTTGCCAAATCTGCTTTTGCTTTTCTGATCCTTTTCTTTGGAACTCTCTACCTACTTTTCTGACTACTTCTCTATCACTTGCGAAATTCAGAGCGGATTTCAAGACCCATCTGTTTTCAAAATTCATTGAGGAGCGCTGTTGAACATCGCGGAAATAGCGCTTTATAAGCTAATTGATTGATTGGTCTATTACTAACATATATATATATATATATATATATATATATATATATATATATATATATATATATATATATATATATATATATATATACAGTGTTGTATAGTAATCGGATTACAAGTAATCCGATTACGTAATCGATTACATTTTTTTGAATCTGTAATCGCATCATTTATAAAAGTAATCTGTAATCTGTAATCAAATTACATTTTTTGTATAATCTGTAATCTAAACAGGTGTCACGATTACTTTATTTTAGATTACTTTAACGACAACAATACCTAAGATTTTTAAAATTTAAAGTTAAAAAACTAAAAAAATGACTTATTCAAAAGAAATAGTTTATCCATTGACGTCGTATGCTTTTTAATTAGACCACCCACGTAATGTTAAAAAGTTGGTCTGCTCAAGAACGTTATGAAGCAGGATAAGCAAAGTCGCTTCTGGTTCAAACTTGTTTGAAATTTCATGAAATTTAAAAAAATGCAATTTTTTAAATTATTTTATGAATAATTACAATTTAATAATTCAATAATTCATAAAACTATGTGACATTCATTAAATAAAATTCTTATGATGTAATCTGTAATTTCCAAAAGTTTGATGATGTAATCTGTAATCGGACACATCATTGCAAAGTAATCTGTAATTTGTAATCTCAAGCTAATTTTAAAAGTAATTTGTAATTTTTAATTTTTTACTTTCCAAAAGTAATCTATACAACACTGTATATATATATAACTCCACTACTGAAAAAACACAATCTTGATGAGAATAATGTTGAAAACTATAGACCGCTATCCAATTTGTCTTTCATATCTAAAATAATCGAACGTGTGGTTGTTAAACAGATACTCACTCACCTAGAGAATAATCATTTAATGCAGATTTATCAATCAGGTTTCAGGCAATACCACTCAACTGAAACGGCTCTATTAAAGGTTCTGTCTGATGTCTATGGGGCTATCGATCAACAGAATACGTTTATGATGGTGTTCCTCGATATGTCATCCGCATTTGATTGTGTAAATCACAAAATACTTTTAGAGAGATTGTGAGTTACTTTTGGATTTTCTGGTGCTGTGTTAAGGTGGTTTGAATCGTATTTGGTTGGTAGAACTCAGCAGGTATCATTTGGTGGTAAACTGTACAAGGTCAATATAGTTTTGTCTGTTGTGCCCCAAGGTTCGGTTCTGGGTCCTGTTATGTTTCTTCTGTATACATCTGAAGTATTCAAAGTAATCGAATCATTTGGTTTCTCATATCATGCATTTGCGGATGACATACAAATTATTGTTACCAGTAAGCCTGGTACTTTCCGGGTCAAATTGGACAGATTGGTTGAATGTTTATCAAAGGTTGATTTGTGGATGCAAAACAATGCTCTTAAACTGAATCAGAGTAAAACGAAACTTTTACCGGTAGGTACGTGGCAACAGCTTTTGAAGTTAGAAACTGATTCAATCATTATCAAAAACAGTGTCATCCCGTTTTGCCAAAAAGCTACTAGTCTGAGATTTATTCTAGATTCCAATTTGTTGATGAAAGATCACATTAGAATGCTTCCCGTTGAATGCATATACCAAATAAGAAAGCTCAATCAAATACGTAGATCTCTTTACACTACTACGTTGCAGACTCTGGTTCATGCCTTCGTGCACTCACGAATTGCTTATTGTAATAGTCTGTTTTACGATTTACCTGATAAACATTTATCTGTATTACAGTCATTGCAGAATCGTGCTGCAAAGGTTGTTGTCGGCGGTTTAAAATATGATCATGTATCACCAATTCTGAAACAACTGCACTGGCTAACCGTAAAAAAAAACAATCTTCAATATATCAACTCTAGTCTACAAGTCAATAAATTGTCATGCACCATCTTATTTGTCAGAAATGTTTGCAAAGAAGTTGGCACCTCCTTCTGGAACGCATCTGAGGTCTCATGATTTGAACCTGCTGCTAGTCCCAGTTTCATGTCTTCATATGGAGTCTCGTAACATCACCGTCTTGGGACCGTCTGTTTGGAACAATTTGCCTGCCTTTCTAAGAAATCCAGAGTTGAACCTGCCTGATTTTAAAAGAAAACTGAAAACTTACTTATTTTCGTCGTAATTCGTTGAACTTACTTGTTTTAGTTATAACGGAGTGATTTATTTTGTTTATTGTGCCATGTTAGATTAAGGAAATAATGAAGACTGTGTTTTTTCTTATAATTTTTTTCGTTGAAATGCACTGATAACCCTTTATTTTTGTTGATTATGCCATGATATTTTTTTTGATAGCGCTTTTGAGATCCTTTGAATTAGCGATTCATTAAATTTTTCATTAATATATATATATATATATATATATGTTGGTAATAGACCATAATTTTTACAATATTCTATAAATTCTACCGAATGTTTGGCGTCAATATGTTTGTAGTTCGTTTTTTCGATTTTTTCAGTAAAGTTTTTTGGTAAACGTTTAGTTTATTAAAATTCAAAATAAACTTATTTTCCGAATTCATGCTACAAATAAGGCCATATTTCGATTCCGAATGAATCATCATCAGTACGGTTGATGTTTATATAGGGAAATATTGACTTTGTAAAAATGAACTTAGATGGAAATTAGGTGTCAGGTTTCTTTATTGGCTGGTCATCTACTTTGGTCTCCTTTTCTTCATCGATAGCATGGAATTCTCGATAGTACTAGCTATCGAGACGTCCATGATCGATAGCATCATATTCTTCTTTGTCACTATTTACAATGCTAGTTTTTATTACTTCTTTGTTTTCATTGTTGGTTAAGCGCCGGGTTGGGAGTGAGGTTGTCATTTTTTGTTGTATATTTATTTTTGATTATGACCTGGCTGGTCATAAAGAAACCTGACACCTAATTTCAATCTAAGTTCATTTTGACAAGTCAATATTACCCTATATAAACATCAACCGCACTGATGATGATTCATTCGGAATCGAAATATGGCCTTATTTGCAGTATGAATTCGGAAAATAAGTTTATTTTGAATTTTAATAAACTAAACGTTCACCAAAAAATTTTAGTGAGAAAAATCGAAAAAACGAACTACAAACATATTAACGCCAAACATTCGGTAGAATTTATAGAATATTGTATATATATATATATATATATATATATATATAATGTTTTGGATAGACAAGTTGGAATCAGGAAGATTCAGGAAGACCATAGTAGAGCGAGTTACAATAAACAATAAAGATAGAAAAGAGGTTTTTGGAAAGAAGAAAGGAAAAAATAAAAATAAAAAGCATGCTTTGATGTACACTATCGGCCTCGACGGTCCCTCGAAGGACAATTGAAGATCAATGATTGATTGATTGATTGATATATATATATATATATATATATATATATCCATGGGCCTAAGTCTTTCTATTTAAGTTTCTTATTTGTTAAAAAATAAGATTAACTAAAAATACAAATTATCTAAGTGAAAAATTTGTTTTATAAGAATTAATATCGACGTCATTTTCAATTTATGACGCAATTTCAAAATATTTCATAATTTTAATTATTCAATGTGATTCAATTGTAAAAATTTAACTATAAGATACTTAGTCTATTTTTCTTTGGTCTGCTTTTAAATTTTGTACGCACCAATATATCGCTCGATTTTTGTGTTTTAAATTTAAAGTAATTAAAAGCCATTATTTTAATAATTTAAGATAAGTGACCGGAAACGTAACTTAAATAAAGAATTTAAAATATTGCATTTTTAATCAGCATACCACTTTGCACTTTTTTGGTTAGCTTAATATTGTTGATGACCACTCCACATTTTTTAAATGCTGGTGACAGTGGAAAAGTGAAAGGGGAAGATGAACATGATGGCGACTTGGCGTCTGCCGACTTGGAAGCTGAATGTTTAGCCAGACAAAAAAAAGAACGCAAAGAGTTACAAGGTGTGACTAAGTATTGAAAATAATTTTGTTCTGTAGATAATTAATTTCAAATTTGCCAAATATGAATTGATACAGACATAGAGATAGGATATGAGAGATACTTACGTCTTAGAGTCTGTAGGAGAGCTTAGACTTTAAACTTTAGAACAGCTTAGTAGCAAATAAAAAATGTAAGGTCATGTTTTTGGTTTGTACTTTAAGGTTTAAGTAGTGCTAGTTTATTACAGCCAGTATTATTTTATTTTTATTTGTTGTCAGTAAAGTAGTTATAAAAATTATTCTGTAATTAATAATTCAATACAGATTATTATTATATTAAAAATTTAGAAATTAATAATATTAATTTTAGAATTTTTTTCTGTTTATAGCTTAATACTAAAAACTAAACTTAATAAGCTACCAGAGTTTTTGTAATTCATTAAAACTGATTGTAATTTAAACTTTATATATTGTGTTGCCAACAAATAAATTATTTTGGAAATTGTTTTTAATTTTTTTTTATTTGATTAAACTGTTTTATCACTTTAGCTGAAATCCAGAAACTGAAGCACACAGCTACGAAAGGAGACAAAAGGAAGAAGAGAGACGTGTTGGCACAGATTGCCATTCTTGAAAAAGATTTGGATGAGAAACAGCAGGAAGAATTAATTCAGATTCATAATGAAATGAAGGTTTTTATTTATTTTGTTTTAGGACTGTTCATTTATTGGGGAACACATTTTTTATTTGACTGTAGAGGGCCCTATACATGCTTCAGTTATGCTGAGGCTTGCCTTCACCGGCTTGGTACTTTTACTGCTCAAATTAATTCATTAACCGGTACAATTTTGTGAAATTTAACCAACAGTTCTCATTGAAAACAATCATCTGAAAATACGTTTTATCACCGAATGTTTTTTAAAATAAATGTAATAATTCAATTAAAAAATTTACAAATGTCATCTTTTAAACCAGGCCTTAAAATTAACTGAAATGTCACAAAATGTGGATGCTACAATAGATGGGGATTTTGTTGAAAATTCTGTTGTAGATATTGTCCCTAGAATTTCAAAATCTCAGAAACGACGGGTATGTTAAATTATTTGTTGTCTTCATTTGAAATTTCAATCTGATGCGTTAATAGTATGAAGCCTGGGAACGTTTGAAATGTGACATTATTGTTATCCAATGCAGCTGGGCTGTTTGTTGTGTGTGTCTTTGTTTGTGTTTGTTGTGTGGATTGTTTGTGGATGAATCTAAGGCTTGTTTCTGAGGTGACTGGTTGGTCTTTTAACATTAGTAACTTGGTGCTTCTGCTGTTTCCATCTGCTCATTTTGCGGGGAGGAGATTTCTAGTTGCCGCTGAACTGAACAGATGCAACACAATAAACCATGAGGAATTCAAAAATGACTGGAAACATCATTTTTTTTAACAAACTGAAACTTTGAGAAGCACTTTTGAAGATCACTCAAAAGAGGTGTCCTAGAAGTCTGAAATACAATCAATCTGAAATATGATAAATCTGAAATATGATCAATCTGGAATACAATATAGTAACTGTTTCTTACAAGTTTATATTTTTCATGTGATGGAAATTATTTCTATAGTTTTTTGTCTTGAGTAAATCCAAGTTGTTTTTCATCTATTATTTTTTTCTCTACTAACAACATTTGTTTCATTATTTTTGAGCTTCAATACCTTTGTAGTCCTCTAAAGTTTCTGGACAGTTTTATTTTCCAGTTTTTTTTTATTGTTCTTTTTTTCATATTGCAATTCATTGTGCACTTTTATTACAATTATCATATCTATGTTATATTTGTACTCTATTTGTATTGTTTCTGTTTTAAATATGTTCTCTTTCTGTATTATTTATTAACTAAATATTTAACTGACAGAGTCATTCTTAGAACAATGCCACTGCTGAGTCAAACATTGCACTCCAACAATTCAGGTTTACTGTTTGTACCTGACACAAACTTGGAATTGTTTGCGTAGCGGGTCCTACTGCCTGGTATGGTTTGCCTAGGGATCTTCGTGCGTTGTCTGTTACTCAATTTCGTAAAAAGCTGAGACACCATCGTTTTGTCCAAGCTTGCCTGTGCTAAGGCCTTTTTTCTCTCCATTCATTGCATTGCTTTAATAAAGTGCTACGCAATGTACTGCAATAATCGTTAACGCCTCTGAGATCTTTTAAAAGGGTGCTTACAAGCACACCAACAATACCTATTTAAATGATATCTTTATCATATCCTTCTGAACATATCTATATGATATCTGTGAAATGTCTGTATCATACCCGAATTATATCTGGATATCTATTGGATGTTGTCACTCCTGCATTCTCTTATGTTCTCACCAATGATAATGATGGTGATGATAATGATGATGATATCAATCTAAGTTTGAAGGCAATAAAAATGATTAAAACCTTTACAAAAGCCTTTGATACGACATGTTGAAACAGCTGAGCTGAGTTGTTGCATTCATTATTTAAATTTTGTTATTAAACAAAGAAGTCAAATGTTTAACAAAGCAATTAAATGATTAATGAGAAAATCAAATGATTAACAAAGAAATCAAATGATTAACAAACATCTCATAAGGCCAAGAAAGCACAGAAAGAATGTGAGTTGAACGAAAGGATCAGATTGGAGGAAAATGAACCAAGCAATCGAAAAATCGAGGAAAACCATTTCAAACAAATCCTCGACGACAGGAACCTTCAGATGTACACTGTATGCATATTCACTTATGTTCTCAATATATGTTTACTTACATTCTCTATATGTGTTCACTTATTTTCTCTACATATGCTCACTTGTGTTCTCTATGTACTATCACTTTTGCTCTGTATGTATGTTCACTTTTGTTCTCTGTACGTTCACTTTCGTTATCTATGTTTGTTCACTTATGTTCTGCTTATATGTTCACTTACATTTTATTATGTATTTGTCATCATTGAACACTGACATTTCGTTATTTGTACTTATTTATATTATTTCATTTATTTAATAAATGTACAGTGTTGAAACGTGCATTGTTTTTTTTTTACAAATATTAATTATTAAATTATTAATTATTTATTTGTTTCAGGTTCCTTCTGATGGGAATTGGTTTGTGTGCATGTTTTGTTGTTCACATGTTCGTCCAATCACTTCTCGTTCATTTTTCTGTTTTCATTTTATGGCTGTCCAATTGTTGAAGTGTGCTTATTTATGTTGATGTGACAACTTTTCGTTCTTCACTTGCACTCTTTCGATCTCTCATGCCACCATTGAACTTAACATCGTCATGCAACTCCACCGTAAACTAAAATTTACTTTTTTTTATAAGCATACATGAAAACTTTATTTTGTAACATTTGCCTGATGTCAGATGGAGACTCATCCATGATCAATTTTAATTTGTCATTCTTTTATTTGCTTTACAGATTGTAAACCTGTAATAACGTACTATTGATGCAAAAGTTAATGTGCATGGTTAATTGATTTGATAACTTGTGTTTTTTTGATAGCCTGTATGCCTCCATGGTGCACCAACTTTCACAAAATAACATCCAAGTTAGACAAACATGTTAATCTTATTTTTTGTTTTTTTATTCATTAATAAATGTTTACAACTGCCTATCTCAATTAAGTTACGCTTAATGCTAAAAGTAAAAGTAGCGAAACAAGCAGTGTTAATGTTAATGATAATTTTTTTATCAACGGCAAGAATTGTTGTAAAAATTTTACCATTCCTACCAGCAATGATGTTAATAAATAATTTGATGGTAACTGCCAACCAACTAACCAACCCACCCACCAGACAGATGTGGGATCGTTAAGAGAGCAGGTCTCGTTCTACATGCGACAAAACGTCCATGACTTCCTTCCATTCTTCGTCCACGAACATTCAGGAGATCTCTTCACTCACGGTATGTCCTTCTTTTTTCCACGTCGTTGTTTAAGTTGCTTGTCGTCATTTTTGACAACATTCCGGATCAAACTCATCTACTTATTTCATCAACCTGTTAGCAAGTCTTCTGCACCAACAAGAGTTTCTATTTTTGTGCTCCTTCTCTGTGGAACAACTTGCCATCTTCTGCCAGAGAACCACCATCTCTAAATCCATTTAAGCAACATTTAAAGCACTACTTGCTTCGTCAGATCATTGCGTGCAATATCGATGACAACTTTTTTGGGCACTCCTGACTGACGCTGTTTTGATTGCATTATATTATTTTTCGTAGTAAAAGTACATTCCTATTTGTTGAAATTAACATTTATCATTCACTTTTGTTACAACCAACCACATTCATTCATATTTGTTGCTACCAGCCACATAACCTACATCCATATTCATATTTGTTGCAGATGAGTTCACGGACTACTGCAGCAGAGTTGAAGAGACATGTGAATGGGGCGGACAGGCAGAGGTCATCTTTACTGCCCATTCTATTTGTTTCACTCACCACTTGTTGTGGCGTTTTTATTTTCATTTGTTTCTATTTCAATATAAATTTGGCCTACTTATCTGGTTAATCTTTTGAAGGGGAATTCAAAAAGTCATTTTTTCTCAATTAATAATGATGCGCTTATTTTTAATTTATATTCTGCCATTTAAAATATTATCTTATATGATTAAATTTACAACCGACTAACAATGAAATGAACGGCAGTTGAAAGCTCTGTCGGACATCTTCTCTGCTTGCATTGAGGTGGTGCAGGCAGATGTTCCCAGTCATTTCATCGGGCTTCAGTTTAAGGATAAACTCTCCATCATCGTCACGTTCGTTTTTCTCAGTCATTATATATTATTTTAAAGTTTATTTTTAACAGCTCAAAGTTGATTAATTTCATTTGTCTATTTAATTTGTGTTTAAAAATGTACATATCATAATTCACCCCGGTGAATTATGATATGTCATTCACATGTTGTCAGTTTCAGTACCCCCTTAATAATTTCTTCAATTTCAACTTGTTAAGATTTTTATCTAGTAGAAAAATAAAACGCCGGTTTATCAAAATTGTCAACTTTCTGAACAATATTTGCGCTTGTAATGTAATAATATATCAATCAATCAATCAATCCTCGTTCATAGTCTACATCCGTTATGGGTCGGACCAGAGAATAATAATAATAATATATATGATAATAATATATGTAATAATATATATACGCATTTATTTGAAATCTGTCCCATCAGTTACCACAAACACGCCTATGGTCTTGGTGAGCATTACAACTCAGTCTGCCTCAAGGTGGACAGTGTCGAATGCGAGACTGATCGCCAGAAGAATTTATAGGATCGCTTGTAGCAATTGTAACAATTTGTGGTTGTGTTGGTAGGGATGGATGGTGAGGTGAATCTGAGAAGTCATTTATGTGATTTTGTATGGATTTGTAATTTTATAGCAATTCTATTTATTTTTGCAAAACTTCCGTCTTTTCTCAACGTCGTCTGTCAATTCATTTCTTTGTCTCGTCAAGTGTTCTATTATTTTCTTCAAAATATGCAAAGTAAAAGGTTTATAATTTGTTAACTTTTTTATTCAAAATTTAATGAAATTGTAACAATAAACATTTAAATTAATTGATATCATTCGAAATTATTATTTACAACGGAGTGATTGCATTGCAAGCAGAATCATGATGTTATGTTGAACCAGAGTTAGAGAAACTCTGGCCTCAATGCCGCTAGGTTAATTGATCATCATTCAACTAGTTGTTGAATGCATTGACATTTTTCAAAGTTGTGATGAAGTTCGGGTGTCAGTGGTGATGATGGCGACGAAAGAAAATCAAATTATAAGAAAGTTAGAGCTTTAAAAATTGTAAAAATATCTTGCAAGAACATACTTCAAAAACGTTAAAAATCATAAACTTTAGCGTAAAAGTGAAAATGGACAATCTGACGTCATGATGCACGTTTCAAACTTTATCTCTCCATCTCTATATTTAATGACTTCATAGGAACAAGATGAATTGAAATATTAATGAAAAGAGAATGTAAAGTTATATTTTGAGAGCATGTGATGTAACGACTTGGCGCGCGTTGCTTTTGCCATAGACATGGATGTTAACAAGTCTGGAGATGCACGCCGTTTCTAACTACATTTCTGAGAAATAAGCTTCTATCAGTTGCGTTGCGGAATGTTATTAAAAAGCAACAAGATTTTTCATTGAGTTAGTAAGAAATATGGGACTAGCGAGAGTTTCTATCGTTAATAATAATCAATTTATAATTCATCTTTGTGGCTTTGATTACAGGAAAATATATTTTGTACACGGTTATATTAGCATCTATTAAAATAGAGTTTTGGATAGTTTCGTGGCAACCCTGCTGACCGCACCCGCAGCTTTGTACTTGAGACCATGAGCTGAATTAACGCGAGAATATTCTTTAAATAGATGAATATATGATAAATACTGTGCATGACGTAGGATAAAATTGAGTAATTTAAAAAAAAACGAAACGGAGACAACGCATCTCGTCGATTGCTATCATATCACAAGTAGTGCTCAACGCGACGCACATGGTACGTCACACAAAATCATTCAAGCTAATTTTAATTAATTGAGAGATTAATTAACTAAACTAAACATAAAAGACAAAGAGCGGACAGTATGACGAGCCACGGTGCAAATCCGTCTCCGCTAATTAGAAATCTTGCACGCGAACAGAGAGTCCCTTCTTTATATCCGTAGACATCTAATCGGTAGCTAAGCAACAGGCCTTCTCTGCTTCTGCAGTTGCTGACGGCGATGTAAATGTTTCTGTCGCCTGTGAACGTCTTCTCGCCTCTGCACGTCAAATTGTTGCCTTCCACGTTCGGTCCCGCTTTTGTCGCGCACCCGTGTCGTTCTGCGCTGTGGTTTGGCGGTGTTGTGTTGGTAGTGGTTGTTGTGTTGTTGGTTGAGTTGATCGTTGTTGTTGTGTTGCGATGTTGTTTTATTGGTGATTGTCACTTTATTTATGAAATGTAGACAAATGCATGATTTTATGCTTAAAAATCTCGTTACTATTTATTCAGACACGTTTTTTTTATCCAATTATTTGCTAGCAAGTAGTAGTGGTGGTCCCTATTGCTTTGACGACGCACCTGAGCATTGGTGCAGTGAATATTTTGTTGAATAGGAAAATAGTTCAGTTCAAAATGAGTTTGCGCAAATTTAGATTATTTTTAATGAAGTTTTTTCTTACGAAACTTGTTTTACAAAAAGCTTTCCGGCGAGTTAGTTATTAAATTAACTAATTAATTAGCGCGGTGACAAATGGGAAGAATGGTCGACCACGTGATTGATGTTTTCATACATGCACTCCATTTTTCCATGTACTTCTTGATGGCAGCTGTTAAGATGCAGCCATCAAGAAGATCCATGATGCATGCATGCACACACGAAGGAGCGTACGACTTACGACGTGCACTGATGTACACCGACCTTCTACCGTTTCCACCTGGTCCTTAAATTGAAACGAGTGTGTTGAATATCTGAGTGACGGTAGAATATGATGCTGGTAAATTTAAACATTTAGCTCCGTAAGAAGTTTAATCTAAAGTGGCCACATTTCAATGCGATTGTAAATTTATTTTGATAACGTTGGCGGTACAATGTTAGGTCTTAAGTTTCAAAATCATGGCGGCTTATTTGCACGAAATGATTGGAAATGTTAACAAAAACGCGGAAATGCGAACGGAAATTAAATGGATATAATGGTGACGAGATCTTACACGGGAGTCAGTTCCATTATTTTGTCCATGACGTGTTTGCTGTCGATGACGGCTTCCTTCAGCCAACAGATTTGGTCCCAGTGCAACTTGCGGATGTCTTCGTCCTGGTACAACAAGACGTTCATCGGCTGTCAATTGCGAAGGTTAACATTATTACGCCATTCAAGATGTGCCTGCGTTGCTCGCTGACTTGGACACTTCTCACGATTTAAAAATTAAAAAATAATTAAACGTAAGAAATATAAAATTACTAAACTTGGCTATTTTAAAATAAAAAAAGAAAGTAATAAAAGTAATTTCAATAAACTCAGTGTAACTCTTGTTGAATAGAGCTTTCATGGTTTAAATTTCCAATAACTCAAAAATAAATTAACAACAGTATTTCATTATCTACTATAAATCACTTGAATTTTTTGCAACTTGCACGCTGGATGTTCATACAACATGATGTTCACACAACACGATGTTCACACAACACGATGTTCATGCAACACGATGTTCAAACAACACGATGTTCAAACAACACGATGTTCACACAACACGATGTTCACACAACACGCTGTTCATACATCCTCTGTGCACACATATATCCTATCCAACACTCAAATCGTACGTAGTTTGAAGTTTAGCCCAGACGACATTCGAAGAAAGTCACCGCGCTAATGCCCGTTAAACTTGCAGCATGAAAGCTACATTTAAATGGGAGTTGCTCAAGTTTAAATTTGAAAACAAGCGTTCTATATAATTTCTGTTAAATGATACATCAGTACCTATATAAGTAAAAGCATATGCAGGTAAGGTAATAGTTTAATTTGAAACCAGATTTAAATGACATTAAAATTAATGTGCCGAATATATTGATAGAAAGCTTCTAACAATCATGGAGTAAGGTAGAGAGAAGAAGAACCTGAGGCCTCCCCCATCTTGGAAGGAAATGTTTTTTACAAACCCGAACCAGTTGTGCGTCGTGTTGACCGTACCTTCCAACGTACACACCGGCCAATCAGAGACGGACACGTGCGTTTGAGCTGCATCGAGTGGTCTTCGAGGTTGATATGATGACGACGACGACGAAGAAGAAACTGAAGAAACAGGTGCTGAGTTTGCATCGTTATCTTTGTTCGTTTTGTAGTTTTTGTTGCCACTGTTTGCAGTTGGATGGGAAATATTTTCTGACGGGCAGGGGATGGTGTGACCGTAAACTTTCAATCGATAGTTCAATTCCAAGCCATGGAGAGATCCACAGTTGCTGAGAGCTACATACCAAGTGGCAGAGTTTCTTGGCTTCACGTGGTTGTGGTGGCTCTCGTCGGAGTGGCCGTAGTCGTTGAAGTTGTCGTTGAAGTTGTTGGCGTTTTTGTTTTCGTCACTGCGCCTATAATTTAAGTTTGATGGAGCTATTGATGAAAAACTCCTGCCCCCCTTGCATATGATTAGATTTGGCTGGTTGAATCTTTTTTTCAGCTGACATCCAGACCAGCTGAAATTCGGAGTGAGCCTTAAAATGAAATTATCAGTTCTAAATTTGCAAAGTTCAATGACCGCGTTTTGCTTCAACATACCAAACAACATTCTTAAGTTTCACCTGTGGTGAAAGAACAAACATCTTTAAATTTTATTTAATTATGTAAGTAGTTTTTAAAGTTTGTAATCCATGAAATCCATGAAAAACAAAAAGTTAATGAGCAAAAATTGGAACCTCAAAATTTGATCGTCTTCGTGCCTCAAGATGTATTCCTTGGACCAGCAGTTGCTGTTTGATCCCATGGCAGCCAGCTGGTCCTCGTAGTAGAAGAGCACGTTTATGCAGCAGCGCTCCTCCAGGTAGGAGAACTCGAACTCCAGGCTGCCGTAGCCACCTGCGATGGTAAGGTTCGCCAGGTAGCCGAACCAGTTCTCCTTCGTACTCACTCGCCCGCTAAACACGCACACCTCTGGACTCTCCAGGTCGTTGTCCAGGGAATAAAATGATGATGATGATGGTGATAGTAATGGTAATGATTGTGGCTGAGAGTTGATGTATTGTTTGTGATGTTCGTCATTTTGATAATTCATCTCATCATCAGCATCATCACTAGCTTCGTTATCGTTGGTTGAAGATGATAATGATGATGAAGATGATGATGCTGATAATGATGAGGATGGAGTCATTGGAAACTTTTTTCTGACATTTCTGCAATGACGCATCCGACGATGTCTGCTAGCAATTAATGATGAAGGTGGCTCGAGTGGGAATGATGATGTTGATGATGACTTTAAAGATAACGATGGCGGAGTTGGTATGAATAGATTTGATGCCTGTGATGATGTGGAAAACACAGGTGATGACGACGACGACGACGATGATGATGACTCTCTCCGACCATGCAACTGAAACATCTTAATGAAATGTTTTTGAGCACTTGGTTTCTTCGAATGTGAGTTAATTGAAGAGATATACTCGTTAGGTGAGTGTGTCGGTGATGATATGTTTGAGTTATAACTCTTCTTTTTGAATCTCATCTGATAATATTGTTTGAGAAGCGATTTTTTGCTGCTGAGATATGGCTTGCTGCGTCGCTCCAACTTTTTATTTTCCTCGAAAATATCACTGAAATTGTTCGCTTGTTTGTTTTTCCAATCAATTTGCTGCAATGAAATGAAGTGATTCGTTGGTTCGTCTGTGTGATCGGCAAGGTTAATGTCGTTGTCATGATTTAAGATGTTGTTGTTGTCACGGAGTTCATGCTTGATGTCGTTTTTGATGATGTTGTTGTTGTTGTTATTGCTAATGGTGTTTGAGATGTAATTGTTGTTAGCCTCCCGATCGATTGCACGCACGTGTGACTGCAAGGTAGTTTATTTGATCTCATATAAGGATATCATTATTTGACATCAAAGAACATTTCTTAGACACATTTTTCTTCAAAAACTTTGAACGGACATCACAAAAAATAACCAAATCAATTCTGGTTGTCTTGAAAAAAAAATTATGAACAAAATTTTTTGATCAGTTTCTCAAGAAGTGGCAATTTAGTTTAAACAATGAACGGAATACTATGCATGTGGATTCTCTGGATTGGGTTGCAACCGATGAAACATGCACACCGTAACAATTTTGCATCAGCATCCTCATTAGAGTGTTAATTTTAACAACTTTGAATGGCAACTAAAATTTCTTCTAAGATAGTTTCTTGATGTGCACACGGTTCACTTTTTAATTAAACTAGTATGGAGCTTGAGGCAGATGGCCTAGAAACCATAAAAAGAAGCCTTACTATGAGACATCCAGCTTTCATGCATGCAGTCCTCTGATTCAACTAACTATAAGACATATTTTGTTGAATAATTTCGAATGTGCATACCATTTAATAACATTTCAACTCAATCTGTGTCAATTCCAAAAGAGAAAGATGCAAAACAATTAGGCGATCACCACGCACGAACACCAGGCAAACATTTCAAGCGCTGGACAAGTCAAAAAATTATCAATCCCTGTCTGTCTGCACTCACTCAGGAGGTTTGATACTCGCCAACACTCATCGACGAAGACGAATAGGAATGTTCTGGTCAAGAGTACATTTCGGCAACTGTCAAATTGAAAATATTATTTCCTTATTTCCTGGCAATTCGTTTCGTAAGTAGACTTGTAAAAATTGCTGGTAGTTGAAGGAAGAGAGAGGGAGGTAGGAAATGAAAAAAAGTGGGAGAGATTACAAAATTCCATTGGAAGATTGTGCAAGGGAGTCACTCAATTTAATTCTACATGAATATGACAACTTTTGTTACTGAGTATTGATTGGGTTAAATGTTATTAAATGATGATTCAATTCGAAAAGATTCAACAAAATATGCCCAAGTTTGCCACTTTATGTGACCATTCATTTTATTCCACCATGTTAATACTTGTCCCAACAGCATCGTTAAATTATGAAATTCTTGGCACTTTTCAAATTTTTCTTTTTATAAAAATTCATGTAAATACTAAAAAAAAACTTTTATTTAAGAATCATAAAGCGATTGTGCTGAAATTTTTACAAATCGTGCAACAACAAAAATTAATTTTAGGATTTTATATATTAAATGTGTTGTTAATACTATTTCATATTTGTCAATAGAGTTTACGTCGAATGGCTGGCTAATGTTTACTGCATATTGATTCAATATTAAAATACGTCACGATTTTAATATTTTAATCCGTCTTCACTTTTTGTTTAATCTTATTTTATCTTAAAAAAAAATTTCACAGTTTCAAGACATTTACACCAAATTCGTTTGGACGCCGGTTTATAAGAGATGAAGATGTCACTTGACTGCCAGCTTCAAGTCCTCGCTCTTCCGTCTCCACGTCAGCCAGCGAACGCCAGACAGTGGCTGCCGATACAAAAACGTGCACAACAACAGAAGAAATTACCTCCTCAGCATGCCTACCCCCCTACCCCCCGCCCTGACCTTCCACTAATCACACCCAGCACGTACTTTACACATACACATCTAACCTTTTGCTTTATTCATACACAGCACCTATTTTGACGTTGTCTCTAAAGAATGTTGGCTGTGCATCGTCGTAATAGTTTATATTTATATTGCTTTTTTATTATTTGAATTATTCGCAAGTAAATTTCAGACGAGCGAAGTAATCTCGGGCTGTCATTCGTCACGAAGTCATTTCTGGTGGACGTCAGCTCTCCACGCCTCAAACTTGACAGCCTGCTACTCAAGTCGCAAGTAGGTTGCAAGTTTTACTTTTTTTGCCGTAAGAATTGATAAAGACCATCCCTTGCAACATTTGCAGTCTGCTTCCCAAACATGTAAACACACGATCAATTTATTTTCAATGTTCCGTTAGTCGGAGTAAGGAGAAAGATTTTGATCGTTGCGAGCATGCCAGCCGGAAAATATATCAATAAACAAAACCAAGTGTCACTTCAATACTGACAAGAAGAAACTAACTGCACAGACGACACCCAACAACGACGTAAAGTAGGAACGTCACAGCTCTCAAATTTGTCTCCGTGTAAAACATTAATGTGAAAAAATACTCCAAAAATAGCGCAACAACAAGCGCAACAATCAACTAGCATATAGTGCAACAAAAAGTGTTGAGCTAGCAACAAAACAACCAAAACAACAACGTTATTACCAAAAAGTGTACGATAAAAGATCAAAACATTGCAACAATTTCAACAACAATCAACAGCAGTACAACAACAACAAATAACAACATTATCATCATTATCATCAACAACAACAACAAACAAACACACAACAACAACATCGTCATCAACAACAACAACAAACAACAACAACAACGTACACACAAACAAACAGCAACAACCAAAACAAAACAACAACATGAATTAATTAGATATTGACTTGATCGAGTCCGGAGCAGAGAGGTGAGAGTATGAAGAAGAGAGACCAGGTCTTGAGGGAGAGGTGCACGGGGGCATGCACCCACCTCCCCGTCCGTCCGGTAGATGCTCTTTTCGCGTCTCTCCTTATTATCGCCGCTACTTTTGATGCTCTTATTGCTGTTTTTATTGCTATTGTAGCAACTGCGGCTGTTGCAGCTGCTGTTGTTGCCGCAACTGTTGCAGCAACTGTTGCAGCAACTGTTGCAGCTGCAAATATTTTTGCTACTAATGCAAAAGTTGTGAAATAATTTGTTTTTCTGGCTTCAGTTTGATCAGTGGTTGGTTTTGTTTTTCTTGTCATTTCATTTTCGCTCCGTGGAGTTGGATTTGTTCTTCGTTCAATTTGCAATGCAGTCAATGATATTTTCAAGCTGGAAAATGTTGTTGAGTTGATTGCTGTTGTTGATGTTGTTGTGGCTGTTGTTGTGGCGATCGTTGCTGTTGATAGTTGCTGTGGATGCTGCAACTGTTCTACGTTGAATTGCTTGCTGAATGATATGTTGGTGGCAGGTGCTTCCTGCTCTGCTGCTGCTGCTGATGAAGATGATGATGATGGTGAGTACGTCGTTGTTGTTGTTGCTGGTGTTGCCGCTGTCGATAATATTATTAACGCTGATGATGATGACAAAAATGACGATGATACAGCTGAGAGTGGAACAAATGAAAAAGTTTCCTTTTCAAAATTCAGCAATCTTGATAGGAAAGAGCTGGAAAAAGAAGCTGATGATGATAGTGATGACGTCAGTGACGATGATGCTTGTGGTGATGGTGACGATGATGCTTGGACCAACAACGGCATTGAGTTTGTTGGCAGCATCATCATCTTTTTGAGTGTTGGTGATGATGTTGGTGATGATGTTGGTGATGATGTTGGTGATGATGTTGATGATGACGATGTTGATGACGATGTTGATGATGATGTTGACACAAAGACCCCACAGTTAGACGATGAAGATGATGACGATGAAGATGATGACAATGATGATGATGATGAAATTTGCGATGGTGAAATTTTATTTGAAATTGCTTTGGCAGCGGAGCGTGACGACGATGATGATGATGATGATAATGACCACGACAAGTTTGGCGGCCAAAACATTGAAAATAATACGAACATTAATGATAATAATATGAACGATGATACTGACAATAACAACAATAACAACAATAACAACAACAACAACAATAATAATAATGTTGGCAATGACGAGAAATCTTCTGCTGACATGAACACCAGCGTCTTGACTGATGGACTTGAAAATAATGTTGCTCTTGATGCTGCTGCTGATGATGATGACGGGAATGATGATGAGGTTAATGTTGGCGAGGATAATGATGAAATGAGTATCGATGGATGATTTAGAGAAACAATCTGCTCTGATGGTGACGACAAAAGTGATGATGATGATGATGATAGCAAAGGAGGTGAAACAAATAATGAAGATGATGATGACGATGATGATGATG